CGTTACTAATAGGTTTGAAATTCATAGATATATTGAAGGTGGATCAATGCACCTCTCTTCACAAATTATACATTTCATAACCTGTTTCTATTTGCAATTTTATTAAATCCCTACTACGTGCAGACTCTGGGTGTGGCATACGCCTTCTCCTTTGGGAACTCTGGAATCTAAGAGTAGATATAAACAGATAAAGTATGATATAAAGCAGAATGTGATTAAGTGTAAAGGAGAAGTCTAGGAAAAGTATTAAGAGAAATCTGATGCAGTAGAGATGACCCAAACTAAAGGCAAGGGGCTAGAACAGCCAGAATCAGAGCTAGCAGGTCCTTTCAGGCATGTGGGGGTGGTAATTTGCCCAGGTAAACAAGGTAGACTGCTGGCTCAGTAAATGGAGGTCAAGGCAGAGCCTCCCTCTCTCTAGATTCATACATATACTGCTTCCCTGACCTGTACAAACGGCCTGCTACTGGTACTATGTTTGTAAAACCCATCAGTACTACAGCAAAGACAAGAACAAAGCACAAGACCTGCTAAATGGGATTAAGCAGCACCAATTTCATAAAAGGTCTACATTTTTCTTATGCTTCTAGTTAATGACCTTGCTGTTAGGATCATAAACTGCAGCAGAAGAGCAGTAGAAAAGACTTGAGGAAGTATGTAAGAGAGACAGAAACCATCTTAGAATCCAATGCTGGAGTTGGAAGTAACTCTGCAGATCATCTATTCCATTCACTTTTACTGATAAGGAAACTGAGGCCCAGAAGAAAGTGATTTCTCTAGGCAGTTATGGCACAGTGGAGCAAGCACTGAATTTGAAACAAGAAGATCCTAGTTCTAGTCTCAGTGTTACCACTATCTTGCTGTGACCTCAGACAGATTTCTTAATCTCACTCAGCCTCCACTTCATCACATTTAAAATGAGGATAATACCTGACCTGATAAGGCTATTGTGAGGATCTCAGAATTAGAAAATTTTATATCTGAATAAGACATAACCATCAAGTCCAACATCCTTTATTTTACATGTAAGAAAAGTGAGGCCAAGAGAGGAAAAGGCCTAAAAAGAGCAAAGGCAGAAGAAAGTAGGATATGGTGCAGGGGAAAGAACACTGAATTCAGGGTGAGAGGGGCTAGGTTAAATCTCGAAGTCCATGACTTTGGGACAAGACATCCCATCTAACCTCCTAAACCTTGGATCTTCATCAGTGAAATGGGCACAATTCTTTCTCTCCATATCTTACATGACTGATTCGAGCAGAGCATCTAGTGATCCTTAAAGCACTTGAGAAGTTTGCGTTTTACTAGAATTACTATTATTAGTTATGATTATTTGCAGTCCCTCAGAATTGTGAAAATCAAATGAGGGATATGTAAAGTGCTCTATAAAAACCAGAGTAAAGCATTACATAATTGTGAACAGCTGTTGCTAGCCACTGAACAAGTCAGTAGCAAGGCCTGGCCCCCAAGGCCCCTCACTGCCAGTCTAGGCCTTTCCTCACTGTTCCCTGCTTCCTTTTGTGGTGGCCTCACTCTTTTAAATGGCAACCATTCAAGTCTAACCTCATTTCCCTTCTGCCCTGGCTGGAGATGCACAGACCTTTTCTTCTTGTCTTGAGACTGCCTGCCAAGGTCCCACTCCTCTTAGGCTTAACTATCTACAGTCCCTATGATCCAAGCATTTCACCCTGGGTCTGCTCTGCTGCTGTCTCCCTAACACTCACAGCAGCACTTGGCTTTGAATGCTCAGGACTCTCTGGGCTCAGTTAGACAAGTCACACATCGGCGCCTTGGCTCAAGGAGGCCCTAGTTACGCTGTTTTGTTTACAGACATCTGCCTCAGCTGTGAATGCAGACTGCCCTGCCTCCCCCCCCCCCCCCCCCCCCCCCCGCCCTGTTGAGCCAGTGACACCTAGAACATCAGCCTGTTGGTTTCACATTTGGACTCAAGACACAGCAGGGCAACTGCAGTAGCTGAAGCAAACAAATAAGAGAGAACAAGGACTCTGCTGCCTAGTATTGAGTAATGTGCAAAAATAGATGTTTTGGAACAGAGTAGTTTGAGACTAGAGCTTTTGTTCTTAAAGGTAAAGTGATTCAGTAATACTCTAACTCAGAAGCAAGGCATGATGGGGAGGGGTAGCAGAAGCAAAGCAAGGTGTTTCTACTTGAGTTAAACAAGCTACACCAATACTGTAAAATCTCTCTCTCTCTCTCTCTCACACACACACACACACACACACACACACACACACACACACACACACACACACAGAGTGTTTTCTAGTTCTCTTTTACTAATAATCAAACTTATGTTTCCCTGACAAACGGTAATCTTAAATCCATCCTAGCTGGATGCACTGCAGACCTCTTTTATCATGCTGGTGTTGAAGCATAAGACTAGAACCTATGTTCAGCTCCATTTATGTTCAGAGTAGGCTCTTCCTCCCTCCACAATAGCCCTGTAATCAATCCCCTCCTGCCACCACAAGACTTCAGGCCCTCACTTTCACTATTAGGTCTCCCTAGCTTTACATCCTCCCCGCTTCAACTCTTCCTAAACACACAGCCAAACTCATCTTCCTTATGCATAAATCTGGTCACATCACTACTGTTTAAATCATTTTAAAGGCTCCCTATTGCCTACGGGTTAGGAATTTAGATTCCTCAGCCATATACTGACTGACCTACCAACCCACCCACCCATCTATCTTACCTTTTCATTCTTCCCCTGCCTCTCATTTATTAGAAGACTTAGCCAGAATCTACTCTGCCATCCCTATACCCTTACTTTCTCAACTTTGTACCACCTCCAAAGCTTGGAATATCCTCCTTACTGTCCCTCTTCAACTCTTGTACCCTACCCATCTTTTAAGGCCAAGACAAGGTCATTTCATTTCCTCCATAAAATCTCCTCTGATTCCCTTTGGGAATCCTAGACCATGGAATGGAAACCAATGGACTGGGCAGAGCAGCCTCCAAGGACAAGAGCATCTATTTCACTTTCCTTTATCCAGAACTCAGTAAGGCAGTAGAATGAGTGCTAAACTTGGAAGGCATAGGACCCAAACTAGAATCCTCACTGCCACCTTCTCGCTTCACCATGGGCAAGTCACCTAACCTCTCTGACTTCAGTGTCCTCATCTAGAAAGTGAGAAGGTTGGATCTCAGTTTCCTTAATCTGTAACAGAGGGATAACATATATTACTTACCTCAATGACATGAATAAAGCACTGTAACTATGAAGCTCCATGTGGACAAAAGATCATAAGATTTAGAGCTGGAAAGAATTTCAGCAATCAGCTAGTCAAAGGTCTTCATTTTCCAGGTGAAGAAACTCAGGTTCAAAAAGGAAAAATATGCCTAAGATCACAGAGCTATTAAACAGCAGAGCCAAGATCTGAACCCAGGCCCTTTCCTTCTAAATCAGTGCTCTTTTCCCTGTATCATGGGAGCTGGTTTCTAGGCCCACATTTTAGGTTAGATACTCCAATGGCAGCCCTAAGGATATCCTCCTTTAAAGGACAGTCCAAATGGGCCCCAGAGAGTGGAAAGGATGAGAGAAACTGAAACAGTCCTGGTCAACAAGGGAGTCCACTTGGCCTTTTTGTTTCCAGCATTGTACCCCTAAACTCAACCAAGAAAGATAGTTGGATAAGCTATTGGAGAAGCAGTTCCTCAACGATTCAGTATGTAAAATAACTGTACTGAGAACATAACAAGGGACTGTTGTGCTCTGGTATCCTAGCTAATAAATGGCTCTTTGCAGAGTGCTGGGGCAGGGAAAGCAGAGAAGGCAAAGAGAGTCAGAGAACGAGAGTCTTCCAAGTCCATTCATTGCTAGTGACTACACCATCCCAGAACTGAGCCTGCTTCATTTGAGGACTGAAGATGTTACCTAGCCATCCCCCTGAGGCAAGAGATGTGCTGCAGGTTGTCACTAAGGCTTCTCCACTGATTAAAAATAGTACAATACCTTTCAGACAAGAGACACTTCATGAATTTTTGTTCTGTTGCATCAGAATATATTTTAAGAGTTAAGTATGGGAAAGAAATCATTGTGCCCTGGTCAGTAACTTGACTAGAAGCAGTTCTGGTTGGTTCAATTTATTACCCTTGATTAGAGTTTCTGTGGTCTAGACTACACTCTATCTTCTTGCAGGTTCTGCTGTATCTCTCAGACCAAAGAGTTGCCCTCAAACCTCCTGCTCCTTCTTGACTCCAACAGGAAATGGGGTTTGTTTCTTCTCCAAAGTCCAGAGATGGCTTTGGGATCTGCCCAACTACCAGCATGCAAGAATAACCCCCCTTCAATCTGTTTTAAAATCCATGTCATGCCTTCAGCCAATCAAGAATGGCCCACTAGAAACTCAGCAAGTAGCTTATTATCCCCTATCCTAAGTAGGTACAATTTATACTCACAAAAATCAGTAACAGCTTAAGTGGTAGTAGGTCTTCAAGTAGTAAAGCACTGATTGGGAGTTGGGGGACTGGGGTTCAAATCCTCACTTTGCTGCTTGACACCTCTGTCACACCTTGGGCGAGTAACTTCCTCTCTTGGGGAAGTAATTCAGTCATCTGTAAAGTTAAGGGATCAGCGCACATGACGTCTAAGTCCCTTGAACTGAGTCTACAATTCCATAAAAGATGACAAGCAATACCTATGTTAACTAATTCCTCCTTTTAGTGTATATAATACTTCTTATACACATTATCTCTTCTGATCTTTCCAAAAGCCTTGTGAGGTAGCAAGTATTACCACTCCTACTTTGGAGATGAGAAAATGGGGGTACAGACAGATTAAGTGATTTGCCCAAAGTCATACAGCTATTAGTATCAGAGACAGGATCAAAATCTAGGTCTTCTGACTGAAAATCCAGGGTTCCTTCCATTACATTATGGCTCTAAGTTCCTAATGTAGCCCCACAGTTTCTTGGGATACTCCCTGGTTCTTCAGACACTTCTGTGGGGAGAAAACAACCCAGATCCAACCAAATACTCACCCAGTTATAAAACGCCCGGGATGCTTTGCCCTGAATTTTAAGCAGCACATGTGACTTGGTCCATTCTTGTTTCAAGCTCAAAGGCATCAGGTCGGTCTTGTGGGTTAGCAGCTAACATATCTTTCAAGAGCTGCTTTATCCCCTCAGACATGGAAGTCCTGCGTTTCTGGGGGATGTGCAACTCCATCTTTGGGTTCTCTAGCAGCGCTTCCCCTACGGGTACAATCTCTGTCCCCTGTTTGATGTAGGTCCCCAGCAGTTCCTTCTTGGTCTCGGAGTCAATGAACGTGATCCGCTCTATCATGGCCCAAATAATAATGCCTAGGGCAAAGATGTCCGCCTTGGCCGTGTAGTGCCCCTCCCAGACCTCAGGGGCCATGTAGAAGTCAGAGCCACAGGCTGAGGACAACCAGTATTTATTCACATTCACATTTTTGTTGTCCTGACCACCCTCTTTCCCTCGTGGTGCCAGCCCAGCACAGACTTTGCTGAGTCCAAAGTCAGCAACCTTAAGGACAGGGACCCCAGATCTCTCAGTGATCAGGATGTTGTCAGGCTTGAGGTCCCTGTGCACGATGTGGTTTTTGTGTAGGAAGGCGATGGCACTGGTAAGCTGCAGCATGAAGCTTCGGTTGGTGGCTGGGTCTGGCCGACGGGACAGCACATACTGATTCAGATCTCCCCCTTCACAGAACTCCATGACAAACCAGAGATAGCAGGGTTCCTCTGCATAACCCAGAATCCTTTCACCTGTGTGAAGAGGACAGGAAACAGCTTCAATTGCATGAGATGGGCTAACTCAGACGCTTAGGCAATGAAAATTTTGTGGTGAGAAGAGCAACAGACATCCACCTTTGGAATGGACCTCTGAGATCTACCAGTCCAACTTCCTCATTTTACAGACAGGAAAACTAATGCCCAAAGAGCTAGATGACTTGCAGAGCCACACAGGTAGTAAGCAGCAGAGATGGATTTGAATTCAGGTGTCCTGACTATAAATAATAAATACATGTGTGTGTATACATTTACACGTATACACACACATACATACACACACATCCATCAACTACACTGCCACTCAAGTAATAACAACTCACACTTATATATATGGCTTTAAAGTTTATAATCTTACAACCCTATAAGGGAGAGAGTGCAAATATCATCATCCCCATTTTGCAGATAAGGTAACAGAGGTTCAAAGAGATTAAAAGGATCGCATAGAGTCACAAAGCTAACAAATGATGGAGCTGGAATCCCAACCCATGTCTCTCAACTTCCAAGTCCAGTGTTTTTTCCACTGTATCATCATATAATCTTGGTGTCTAATCTTCTCCAACTCGGAAACGTTTAGATGGCTTTCCATCCCCTACTTAATCAACTTAAATTCCATTTCAGATTTTTCATAATCTTGTTCCAGCCTACCTGTCCCTTATCTCCATAACGGACTATTTTCCATCCCCTGCTCTTGTCTTACCCTCCAACATCACTGTTCCTTTGCTTATTTTGTCAGCCACGCTTGGAATAGCCTCCACCTATCTTTCCCTTCAAGGCCCAACTTAGGGGCCATCTCTTCCTTGAAGCCTTTTTTGAGCTATTTCCCACCCTCCACTCCCTTCCTGCAATTTAAAGTACTCCATCTTCTTTGCTTAATCATTGTCCACCTTCTATCATACCTATTATTTATATCTTCAATCTCCTCCTCCCCTCAGCCTAACCCCAACCCCTCCACCTCAAAAAAAAATTATATTGTTTTTTGAGGCAGTACTATATCATTTTAAATCTTTGTATCTTTGGGGCCAAGAATGAGCTTAATAAATGTTTATTGATCAAAACACCTCCACCGGCCCCCCCCCCCAACTTTACCAGAGAACATTGGTGAATAGACCTTTATTGACTTAATGTGAATCTGAACCTATTGCTATAAAAGTCAAACTCTATTGTTTTAAGTATTGCATTTTCTTTATAGGACAGAGAAGTAAGTATGGTGAAATCTGGAATCAAAGCTGGAGGCATGTTACTCACTACGAACTGAGGCGTCTCATTTCTCTGGGCCTTGGTTTCTTTATATATAAACTGTGACTATCACAATCTCTCTAGAAATATATTTTTATGATTCCAATGAGCATTGTTCCATTAATTCCATACTTTTCTTTGTGCAGTTTGGATGAAGTTCATCTAACCTACTGAAATTCCTTTTCATGCTCTAATTCAGTAAGCAGTATAGTGGAAAGAGCACTGAACAGGAACCCCAAGATCTGGATTCCAACCTTGGCTCTTCCTTTAACTGCCATGGGACCTTGGGCAAATCACTTCTCTTTGATGATTCTCAAGTTTCCTCATCTACAAAATGAGAGGGAAAGGGAGGCAAAATGGTGATCTCAAAGAGAACAGTAACAAGGGAGCACCTCCTAGCCTCCCTCCCTGAGTCTCTCCCCTCTCCAATCCCTTCTCCACAAAGATGCCAAAGTGATTTCCCCAAAGCACAAGACTAACCCTGTCAGCCAAATACATGCCAGTGATTTTTTTTTATTACTCTAGGGTCAAATAAGAACTGCTCTGTTTGGTATTTAAAACTCTTCACTACCTAGCCCCAACCTACTTTTTCAATCTTAGCAATATTACATTTAGGTACTTGTTAGTCCCTGCCAAACTGGCCTCCTTGTTGTCCTTCACACGTGACACACTCCTATTTCCAGTCTCTGTGCTGTATACCTGCCCCCCTCCCTAGACTGGGATGCTCTTCCTCTTCACCTCTGCCTCTTAGAAGCCCTAGCTCCCTCCAATAATCTGCTTGAGTACCTTCTACATAAGTTCTTTGCTGATTTCCTCTCCCTACCTGATCCCCAGCTGTCTTCTTCCTCACCAATTACCCTGTATTTATTTTGTATATATACCCCACTCACTCAATAGAATATAAGCTCCTTAAAGGCATGGTCTGTCATTTTTGTGGGTTATTTGTATCATTAGAGTCTGGGACTGTGTCTAGTATATAGTAGGTGGTTAATAAGTGCTTGTTTGTAGGCAAATTCCTTTGACTATCTTTTGAGTTACTAGGTGTCCAAAGGGGTTTTTTAAAAAAACTCTAAAGGACATTTCTGAGAGAGCGGGAGGAGGAGAGTGGCTAGGTAAACAAATTTTTAAAAAATCTGTACATTCTGAACCTTCTAGTCTAATGTGCCTTCCCACCATTAGCTGTTCAACTTGATGTTATTAAAAAAACAAACAGGATTTTGCTATTCGCTCTGTGACACTGAACAATTCAATAGTCTCTGGGCCTCAAATGACTCCTTTGTAACAAAAAGGCTGAATTTAATGGCCTCTAAAGTCCATCCCATGCCCAGATGCAATGGCACTCACTTGTGATCCATTCCTGCCCCTGGGGATGAAACTCGTGGATTACATGAGCTCAGGAGTTCTGAGCTGCAGTGGCCTAAAGCATAGGAACCGGGTATCCACAATGCCAATATGGCATGGTGAGACCCCTGGAGTGGGGAGCCATCAGGCTGTCTAAGGAGGGTAAACCAACCCAGGTAAGAAAAGGAACCAGTCAAAGCTCCCACGTCAATTGGCCCATACGTGGCCACTGCACTTCCAACCTAGGTTATAAGAGAAACCCTGCTTCAAAATAGTTAAGATAAATGAATGAATAAAATCTGTTCCATCTCTAATACTGTTTTATCATATAAGGCCCCTTTTCCTTCTAGATTTAATTTAACTACATTCTTTATTCTAAGGAATCTTGAGTGTTCTAGGTCTTGATGTCCTGTCCAGTTATGTTAATTATTCTAAGACTTTTTTCATTTCGAATGATGTTTGATTCTAAGACTAAATTATGCATAGTCTGGCAAAACCAATAACATACTACTTGAAACAGGGCACGTGACTGGAAAGACCACAATGGGTTTAGGTTTTAAAATTCTGCTAAAGAGGCCAGAAGAAGCAAGTTTACCCTCAGATTTCTGACTGTGGCCGTACACATGACCTTCCTCAAAGCACACATTTCCCTGCAATAGCTCATTTCCCCTGTAATTATATAATTTGTTTATGTTGCTTTGAATCTTGGTGTAATACAGGTAGAACCAGTTTAGGGAAGATGGATGTATTTTTAAAAAATCTGTTAGTTCTCTTTATCATAATCCACTTTCTGGGTCATCAACTCTGAAGTACTATAAATACTAAGGAAAAAATCAAGGCAAAACAGAGATTTCTGAAACCAATCAAATTTTCAAATTAATTCCCTGGGAAAGAAAGCTTGATATTTCAAACTGTAGGTGGAGCCAAAAAGGAAAAGATTAAAAAGCTATCCAATTCTTTTCTCATAGGCCATCTCTGCAAACATCAGTGACGTTTTGGGAAATGCTGGTTATTTTATATACAAAGTTGGTAACCATGGCTACAGGGGTGGAAAAGCCAGTCTACAAAACAAAATATACCTCACAATCCTTGAAGGGTAGGAAGAGAATTAGGAAGGGAGAGTGGGTCGTTGTTGTTAGACCAGTAGAGAATCCTCCAAGAGTCCTCTCTGCCAAAAGCCTCAGTAGGGAAGCCAGAGCTGCTGTTTAAGGTAGGAGGTAGGAAAGGGGGTAGGGGGGAGAAGAAGCAGGAGGTTGAAGGGGAGAGGAAAATGGGGCGGGGTTGTTTTTGGAGATGAATACAGGGAACAGGAAGAGACGCTCCCAGTCTGAAGACGCCCATAGTAAGCTAAAGACAAGGCATGACAGAATGGAAAATAGAGAGCTTTGCCTTGTTGCAGATACAAAAATGTTTACACAAGTACTGACCAGTGAAGTGCAGGGAGTTTGTCATTTCGTTAGGGCGGCTCTTCTGGGATGCCCCAGTCTCAAGTTGCCTGCAGGGGGCTTTTTCTTTCAGATTTTGTTATGAATGATAAAAATCAAAGTAGGACAGAAGGAACACCAGACTGGGGCCCCTAAAACCATCTCTGGGTCTCCAACACTTGCACTGCAACATGACCCCACCACCTAGTGTTCAGAGCCCTCCAAAGGGATGTAGGCTCTAACCTCCTCTCTCTCCTAGCCTCATCTCAAGCTGCTCTCCACTTCATGCACCTACTCCCAGCTAAGCCCATCCTGTGGGTTTCAGCCTTGACAATTTTGCTCACACTGCTCCATACATCTACAATGTCTAAGCCTTCACCTATTGGTGTGCTACCCAATCCTCAAATATCACTTCTTCCATCTCCCCAGCTGGAAATGATCTCTCCCTTCTTGATGTTCTTAGTAAAAGACCTTAGAAATCATATATCAGGGGTTTGTTTTGTTTTTTAGTATATTTTAGTAACTATTTAAACATCATTGGCTTCCCTTGTAATCCTATTAAAAAAAAATACACACACTGAAAAACATTACCCTGGAACCTTTTGCAGGTTGTCAAAGGGGTCCATGACCCAAAAAAGATGAATATCTCCTGAGATCAGGTGAGATATTTTATGTGAATTACTTTGCAAGCTTTAAAAATATTGTATAAATGGTAGTTATTCCTGTTATCTAGTAAAACCACTTCATTTTATAGAAAAGGAAAACTGAGACTTGGAGAAGGTAAATGTTAGGATTACACACAGTAACAGCTTTAAGGGGAAGAGCCAGGATGATTTTCACCTGCTGATTTGCCTACTCAGTCTAGTGCTTTCTTCACTACAGACAGTGGCTCTACCTTATGTCTTTCTTATGGACTTCTTTCTATTTTAGTTTCTATTATAGTTACTTGTTAACATGTGTTATCTCCCCCAC